ACCTGATTCACCCACCTGGAATACACTCCCCTGATCCACACACCTGGAATGCTCTCATGTGATTCACACACCTGGAATACACTCATGTGATTCACACACCTGGAATCCACTCACCTTATTCACATAACTGGAATACATTCACCTGATTCACACACCTGGAATACACTCCCCTGATTCACACAACTGGAATCCCCTCACCTGATTCACACAAGTGAAATCCACACACCTGATTCACACACCTGGAATACACTCCCTGATCCACACACCTGGAATACTCTCATGTGATTCACACACCTGGAATACACTCATGTGATTCACACACCTGGAATACACTCCCCTGATTCACACACCTCGAATACACTCATATGATTCACACAACTGGAATACATTTACCTGAATCACACACCTGGAATACACTCCCCTGATTCACAGAACTGGAATACATTCACCTGATTCACACAACTGGAATCCACTCACCTGATTCACACACCTGGAATACTCACTTGATTCACACACCTGGAATACACTCACCTGATTCACACACCTGGAATACAATCCCCTGATTCACACACCTGGAATACTCACTTGATTCACACACCTGGAATACACTCACCTGATTCACACACCTGGAATACACTCCCCTGATTCACACAACTGGAATACACTCCCCTGATTCACACACCTGGAATACACTCACCTGATTCACACACCTGGAATACACTCCACTGATTCACACACCTGGAATACACTCACCTGATTCACACAACTGGAATACACTCCCCTGATTCATACACCTGGAATACACTCCCTGATCTACAAATGGAATCCACTCACCTGATTCACACACCTGGAATACACTCCCCTGATTCATACACCTGGAATACATCCCCTGATTTACAAATGGAATCCACTCACCTGATTCACACACCTGGAATACACTCACCTGATTCGTACACCTGGAATACACTCACCTGATTCATACACCTGGAATACACTCCCCTGATCTACAAATGGAATCCACTCACCTGATTCACACACCTGGAATACATTCACCTGATTCACACACCTGGAATCCACTCACCTGATTCACACAACTGGAATACACTCCCCTGATTCACACACCTGGAATACACTCACCTGATTCACACAACTGGAATACACTCCCCTGATTTACACACCTGGAATACACTCACCTGATTCATACACCTGGAATACACTCCCCTGATTCACACAACTGGAATACACTCCCCTGATTCACACACCTGGAATACACTCATGTGATTCACACAACTGGAATACATTCACCTGATTCACACACCTGGAATACACTCCCCTGATTCACACACCTGGAATACACTCATCTGATTCACACACCTGGAATACACTCACCTGATTCACACACCTGGAATACACTCACCTGATTCACACAACTGAAATCCACTCACCTGATTCACACACCTGGAATACACTCCCTTGATTCACACACCTCGAATACACTCATGTGATTCACACACCTGGAATACACTCCCCTGATTCACACACCTGGAATACACTCATATGATTCACACAATTGGAATACATTCACCTGATTCACACACCTGGAATACATTCACCTGATTCACACAACTGGAATCCACTCACCTGATTCACGCAACTGGAATACACTCACCTGATCCACACACCTGGAATACACTCCCCTGATTCACAGAACTGGAATACACTCCCCTGATTCACACAACTGGAATACATTCACCTGATTCACACAACTGGAATACATTCCCCTGATTCACACACCTGGAATACTCACTTGATTCACACACCTGGAATACACTCCCCTGATTCACACAACTGGAATACACTCACCTGATTCACACACCTGGAATACACTCCCCTGATTCACACACCTGGAATACACTCCCCTGATTCACACGCCGGGAATACACTCACCTGATTCACACAACTGGAATACACTCACCTGATTCACACAACTGGAATACACTCACCTGATTCACACACCTGGAATACACTCACCTGATTCACACACCTGGAATACACTCCCCTGATTCACACACCTGGAATACACTCCCCTGATTCACACACCTGGAATACACTCACCTGATTCACACAACTGGAATACACTCCCCTGATTCACACACCTGGAATACACTCCCCTGATTCACACGCCGGGAATACACTCATCTGATTCACACAACTGGAATACATTAACCTGATTCACCCACCTGGAATACACTCCCCTGATCCACACACCTGGAATGCTCTCATGTGATTCACACACCTGGAATACACTCTGTGATTCACACCTGGAATCCACTCACCTTATTCACATAACTGGAATACATTCACCTGATTCACACACCTGGAATACACTCCCCTGATTCACACAACTGGAATCCCCTCACCTGATTCACACAAGTGAAATCCACCCACCTGATTCACACACCTGGAATACACTCCCCTGATCCACACACCTGGAATACTCTCATGTGATTCACACACCTGGAATACACTCATGTGATTCACACACCTGGAATACACTCCCCTGATTCACACACCTCGAATACACTCATATGATTCACACAACTGGAATACATTTACCTGAATCACACACCTGGAATACACTCCCCTGATTCACAGAACTGGAATACATTCACCTGATTCACACAACTGGAATCCACTCACCTGATTCACACACCTGGAATACTCACTTGATTCACACACCTGGAATACACTCACCTGATTCACACACCTGGAATACACTCCCCTGATTCACACACCTGGAATACTCACTTGATTCACACACCTGGAATACACTCACCTGATTCACACACCTGGAATACACTCACCTGATTCACACAACTGGAATACACTCCCCTGATTCACACACCTGGAATACACTCACCTGATTCACACACCTGGAATACACTCCACTGATTCACACCTGGAATACACTCACCTGATTCACACAACTGGAATACATTCACCTGATTCATACACCTGGAATACACTCCCCTGATCTACAAATGGAATCCACTCACCTGATTCACACACCTGGAATACACTCCCCTGATTCATACACCTGGAATACACTCCCCTGATTTACAAATGGAATCCACTCACCTGATTCACACACCTGGAATACACTCACCTGATTCGTACACCTGGAATACACTCACCTGATTCATACACCTGGAATACACTCCCCTGATCTACAAATGGAATCCACTCACCTGATTCACACACCTGGAATACATTCACCTGATTCACACACCTGGAATCCACTCACCTGATTCACACACTGGAATACACTCCCCTGATTCACACACCTGGAATACAACTCACCTGATTCACACAACTGGAATACACTCCCCTGATTTACACACCTGGAATACACTCACCTGATTCATACACCTGGAATACACTCCCCTGATTCACACAACTGGAATACACTCCCCTGATTCACACACCTGGAATACACTCATGTGATTCACACAACTGGAATACATTCACCTGGATTCACACACCGGGAATACACTCCCCTGATTCACACACCTGGAATACACTCATCTGATTCACCACACCTGGAATACACTCACCTGATTCACACACCTGGAATACACTCACCTGATTCACACAACTGAAATCCACTCACCTGATTCACACACCTGGAATACACTCCCTTGATTCACACACCTCGAATACACTCATGTGATTCACACACCTGGAATACACTCCCCTGATTCACAACACCTGGAATACACTCATCTGATTCACACAATTGGAATACATTCACCTGATTCACACACCTGGAATACATTCACCTGATTCACACAACTGGAATCCACTCACCTGATTCACGCAACTGGAATACACTCACCTGATTCACACACCTGGAATACACTCCCCTGATTCACAGAACTGGAATACACTCCCCTGATTCACACAACTGAATACATTCACTGATTCACACAACTGGAATACATTCCCCTGATTCACCACACCTGGAATACTCACTTGATTCACACACCTGGAATACACTCACCTGATTCACACAACTGGAATCCACTCACCTGATTCCACACACCTGGAATACTCACTTGATTCACACACCTGGAATACACTCACCTGATTTCACACAACTGGCATACACTCACTTGATTCACACAACTGGAATACACTCCCCTGATTCATACACCTGGAATACACTCCACTGATCTACAAATGGAATCCACTCACCTGAATCACACACCTGGAATACACTCCCCTGATTCATACACCTGGAATACACTCCCCTGATTTACAAATGGAATGCACTCACCTGATTGACACACCTGGAATACACTCACCTGATTCATACACCTGGAATACACTCACCTGATTCATACACCTGGAATACACTCCCCTGATCTACAAATGGAATCCACTCACCTGATTCACACACCTGGAATACATTCACCTGATTCACACACCTGGAATCCACTCACCTGATTCACACAACTGGAATACACTCCCCTGATTCACCACCTGGAATACACTCACCTGATTCACACAACTGGAATACACTCCCCTGATTTACACACCTGGAATACACTCACCTGATTCATACACCTGGAATACACTCCCCTGATTTACAAATGGAATCCACTCACCTGATTCACACACCTGGAATGCATTCACCTGATTCACACAGCTGGAATACACTCACCTGATTCACACAACTGGAATACACTCCCCTGATTCACACACCTGGAATACACTCATCTGATTCACACAACTGGAATACATTCACCTGATTCACACACCTGGAATACACTCACCTGATTCACACACCTGGAATACACTCACCTGATTCACACAACTGGAATACACTCCCCTGATTCACACACCTGGAATAAACTCATGTGATTCACACAACTGGAATACATTCACCTGATTCACACAACTGGAATACACTCCCCTGATTTACACACCTGGAATACACTCACCTGATTCATACACCTGGAATACACTCCCCTGATTTACAAATGGAATCCACTCACCTGATTCACACACCTGGAATGCATTCACCTGATTCACACAGCTGGAATACACTCCCCTGATTCACACACCTCGAATACACTCATGTGATTCACACACCTGGAATACACTCCCCTGATTCACACAACTGGAATACACTCCCCTGATTCACACACCTGGAATACACTCATGTGATTCACACAACTGGAATACATTCACCTGATTCACACAACTGGAATACACTCCCCTGATTCACACACCTGGAATACACTCATCTGATTCACACACCTGGAATACACTCACCTGATTCACACACCTGGAATACACTCCCCTGATTCACACAACTGGAATCCACTCACCTGATTCACACAACTGAAATCCACTCACCTGATTCACACACCTGGAATACACTCCCTTGATTCACACACCTCGAATACACTCATGTGATTCACACACCTGGAATACACTCCCCTGATTCACACACCTTCAATGCACTCATATGATTCACACAATTGGAATACATTCACCTGATTCACACACCTGGAATACATGCACCTGATTCACACAAGTGGAATCCACTCACCTGATTCACGCAACTGGAATACACTCACCTGATTCACACACCTGGAATACACTCCCCTGATTCACAGAACTGGAATACATTCACCTGATTCACACACCTGGAATACATTCACCTGATTCACACAACTGGAATACATTCCCCTGATTCACACACCTGGAATCCACTCACCTGATTCACACAACTGGAATCCACTCACCTGATTCACACACCTGGAATACTCACTTGATTCACACACCTGGAATACACTCACCTGATTCACACGCCTGGAATACACTCACCTGATTCACACACCTGGAATACACTCCCCTGATTCACACACCTGGAATACACTCACCTGATTCACACACCTGGAATACACTCACCTGATTCACACACTGGAATCCATTCACCGGATTCACACACCTGGAATACATTCACCTGATTCACACAACTGGAATACATTCACCTGATTCACATACCTGGAATACACTCACATGATTCATACACCTGGAATACACTCACCTGATTCACACACCTGGAATAATCACCTGATTCACACAACTGGAATCCACTCACCTGATTCACACACCTGGAATACATTCACCTGATTCACACAACTGGAATACATTCACCTGATTCACATACCTGGAATACACTCACCTGATTCATACACCTGGAATACACTCCCCTGATTCACACAACTGGAATACACTCACCTGATTCACACAACTGGAATACACTCCCCTGATTCATACACCTGGAATACACTCACCTGATTCACACACCTGGAATACACTCACCAGTCTCGCTCACCACACAGGACATTTAAATGTTTATTGATTACAAATCGAACGCGGATCATTAGCTACAGCTACTAATTAAATTACCATCAATCAATACATTAAAGCGATCATGGATCACCCCTGGAAAGGCGAGGCTGGGCAATCAATACATTAAAGCGATCATGAAACGCCGCAAGAAAATAAAGTTTCGGCGGATAAATCCTCGTTGCACTACCAGATTAAGGCCAGACAATGGCAGTACAGCAAGACGGTGCATTGGCAGTTGATTTCGTCTCGTATACAATGGGGAATCTCCGGCTTGCTCCCAGATGAAGCCAAACTCTCAATCATCATAGACTCACAGAGACCCACAGACTAGCACAAAGACTCACCGACTCACACTCACACAGGGAGCCAAAGAGACATACAGAGTCCCATAGATTCACATAGAGCCCACAGACTCATAGAGAGCCACAGTCTCACACAGAGAGAGCCACGGACTCACACAGAGAAAGCCACGACTCACACAGAGAGCAGCTACAGACTCACACAGAGAGGCAGACTCACACAGAGAAAGCCACGGACTCGCACAGAGGAAAGCCACAGACTCACACAGAGGGCAGCCACAGACTCACACAGAGAAAGCCACAGACTCACACAGAGAGGCACAGACTCACACAGAGAAAGCCGCAGACTCACACAGAGAGGCACAGACTCGCGCAGAGCCAGACTCTTAATATGAACCAATAGCCTCGCTGGTGATGACGTAGTGTTTTGATGCCTGGTCAAGTAGCCGCGACTTCAGTAATTCAGGCAATGACACTAAAAGCCCTGTGTGTAGCATGACGCCACGGCGCCCTCCGGCACCCTTGCAAGAGAAATGACGTCAGTAGTGTTTGGGATGCAGGACCCTGCTGTTGTGTTGATTCATGTGCCATGAAGAAGGGCCATTGCCTGAAACGTCGCCTACTGTATACTTTTGCTTTAAGCCGGCCTCGTGATTAAGATGTTCGTTCTGTGTGATGCCGTCTCGTACTGGTGTGATGCCGGGCCACGCCATTAGTGTTGAGGACGATTGCCCCGGCGTAGTTTGTGACGTAGCCCGCGTCGGAGTGTCTTATGTTCAGCGCGTGACGTGTTTGCAGCCACAATCGCTACGAGTCTCAGTCGTCGCGATTCTCTAGTCATCAGTGCCACCGGCTTGCCTCTGCGCGGTCTGACATCGCTGTCCCTGTGTGGCCTGTGTCGTCTCCGCGGTGCCATCTCTGTGCCATCACTGTCCCTGCGGTGTGCCGCCGTCCCTCCCGCGGTGTGCCGTCTCTCCCGTGGTGTGCCGTCTCTCCCGCGGTGTGCCGCCGTCTCTCCCGCGGTGTGCCATCTCTGTGCCGTCTCTGTGCCATCACTGTCCCTGCGGTGTGCCGCCGTCTCTCCCGCGGTGTGCCGCCGTCTCCGCGCCGTCTCCCCCGCGGCGTGGCCCTGGCACGTCGTAGTAGTCCACGTGTGCGCCGCTGCGGAAGGAGTCTGCCCGCAGCAGGCGCAGCAGCGCATGCGCCGAGTCGCGGGGGGTCCACGAGTGCCCCTCCAGCGCGAGATTTCTCCAGCCGCCCCCGTAGCCCCGCGTCGCCTGTCCGCACGCACGCCTCCGCCTGCATGTCTGTGTCCATCGGACCTGTGGGGGGGGAGGGGCATGATGGGGGAGAAGGTGAGGGGTTATGAGAACCGTGATAGCTCCCCTGGTGCTGTCACAAACTCTGTCCTGGTGAGCGTGGCTCAACATGATGACTGATATGGTGAGTATCGTGGTGCGTGTGGTATGGTGATTGAGTAGCACGGTATCATGGTGAGTCATCGGGTGTCGCGGTGAGGAGATCGTGGTGTGTGTTGGCCCCCTTGTGTTTACTCAGGAAAGCCTCACTCGGTCCCGTGACTTTTTCAAGGAGGGTCTTGCCAAGTTTGTCGCAGTAGGGGGCGGTGTTTGCTGCTTTGTGTATAATTCTAGTTGTGTATTTTGCAGTGTAAATGTTGATGGCCACTGTGAGTAAAGCAAACGGTGCATGCTATGCATATGGTTAATACACAACGCAGTATTAACGAGGGCAGCCACTGGATTCGAAGGCAAAACCTGACTGTTGTTGGTTTGTTAGTATCGGCACGTCTGTTGGTACGAGCGTTGGTGCGTGCGTGTGTGTTGGTACGAGTGTTCAATGCTGTTGCAAGCAGGGCGACCGCACCAGGAGCGTAGTTAAGGACCCGCACGTGCGGCTCCTCGGTTGCCAAGACGACGTGCAACATGTCTCTGGCTGCGCGTGACGAGCAGTACGGAGCCCAGCTCGGGTACGGAGTGAGGGCGCACAGAGAGCTCACGTTAACCACCATGGCAACGCGTCCTACACACATACACACACACAGCTCACATTAATCACCATGGCAACGCGTCCTACACATACACACAGAGCTCACGTTAATCACCATGGCAACGCGTCCTACACACAACTCACGTTAATCACCATGGCAACGCGTTCTACACACACATAGCTCACATTAATCACCATGGCAACGCGTCCTACACATACACACACAGAACTCACATTAATCACCATGGCAACGCGTCCTACACACACACACAGAGCTCACGTTAATCACCATGGCAAAGCGTCCTACACACACACAGAGCTCACGTTAATCACCATGGCAACGCGTTCTACACACACACAGCTCACATTAATCACCGTAGCAACACGCCCTTCACACAGAGCTCACGTTAACCACCGTTAAAACATTGCCCTACACACACACACACACCCTCACATCCTTTCACCTGAGGGCCCCTCATCCCCGGTCCACGTGTTCGTGTCCCCGGTGCCCTCAGACTCCTCAGGGCCCTGGAACCAGCGTAGTGCGGCTCCTGCGAGGAGGAGGGGGGGCAGCCACGTTGAGCTGGAGGTGGCGGCACAGGGGGGCCCACTCGGCGGTCGTCACGTCCCTCACTCGCCGGCTCACGTCCCCCAGCGACCCGGGGGGGGTGGGGAGGGTCACAGTAAGGGGGGGGGGGGGGGGGGCGCGGTGAAAGGGTCGCGGTGAAGGGGGCACAGTGAAAGGAGCACGTCGGGGTGGGGGGGGGGCGTGGTGAGGGGGGCACAGTGCCGGTAGGGACACAGCAGAGTGGTGGGCACAGTAAGGGGGCCACAGTGAGGGGGGCAATATAATTATGGTGGGGGTGGCGGCGATGCCCGCGTCCCAACAGCGAGAAGAACCTGGGTTTAACTCCCGACTCGGGTGCCTGTGTGGAGCCTGCGTGTTCTCTCTCCGTTCTGCGGTGAGAGTGTGGAGCGACGCTCACAATGAGCGGAGCGCGGGCGGCTTAAAACGCAGCGAGTTGGCGCAGTGGGGTGCACAGATAGTGCATCTTACAGTCATTTTGGTCAAATAGCGCATGGCACCTCGGTCTGTCCGATCATCTCCTGTCAGGAGTGAACCTTCAGCACTTCACGAGGCGCTTGTGCGCCGTGGTGACGTCACCACCACTCAGTGGTGATAGGCGGTTGTTGTTGTGTGTGAATGTGTGCAAGTGTATTTGTGTACACTCACACATTCACACACAAAGGAGGTCGGGCACGATGCTGGTCACCCCATTCTGGCCTAGATAGGTGCTTGCGGGGGATCTTTTGACTGTGGTACCACAATTGAGCTACCTGGACCGGCACGCAACGGCTGCTCTTGCGAATTACATCACTGGGATACTTCAGGTCCTCTGTGAGTCGAGCAGACGGCGTGTGTAGTGGTTATTATGTTTAGGGTTAACACACGCAACCGTGGTATGAACCGGTTAATAAACCGCGAACCTCTGGGACAAGCGGTAAAACAAGCTGCGGCCGGGTCACTGCGTAACCGCACCCATTGGCGCAGTGGTGGAAATTCAACATTCCCATGGCAGGGGCGAGAATGCCCATCCCAGGAACAGGCCAGGCCAGGCCCAGCACGGATCAATGGTGACGCGGCAATGTGTGGGGCGTCCCCTACCAGCGTTGTTCAGCACCAGCAGCCGCCTGTATTGGCCCGGGTCCTGGGTCCTCAAAGTGGCCTCCACTGCCTGAAGGCCTTCGGGGCACTCCAGGTTAGCGGCCACACACAGGAAGCGCAGGCAGCCCCCAGGGCAGCTCACCAACAGGGATCCCTTCTCCTCTTGGGGCCCCTTCTCATCTTGGGGTCCCCTTTCCTCGAGGGGCTCGCCCCCCACGCATCCCTGCCCCCCTGGCTCCCGCGGGGGCCCCCCGTGTCGCTGGGCGAGGAGGCGGTGGGCGAGGAGGCGCAGGGGCCCCAGGGAGCGCGCGGAGAGGAGGAGGAGGGAGCCAGGGCCCAGGATCTCTGCACTCAGGACCGCTGCGAAGGCCGCTCCGAACCCCCGCGAGGCCCCTGTGAGGATACAGAGCCAGGGGCCTGCGGGGCACGGCACAATGATACCGCATCCCTCAATCACCACGATACTCCTCACCACGACATTCATTCACTCACCATGATACCGCGTTGCTCAAACACCATGGCACACTCAACCACCATACTCAATAACCATGATACGATAAATTTTGATTTAAAGCTTTCGTGACTGCAGTAATTCATATTCTTAGCTCTTTCGGTAAAGTCACGTTGAAGGGAAACAATAAAATAATAAAATATATAAAACAATAAAAATTCTCACGACGTTTCGACCATAACACAAACGGTCATCATCAGGTGTGAAAAACCAACGGCAAGAAACATTTGAAAGAAACATTTGAAAGAACCGCCACTTCTTTCAAATGTTTCTTGCCGTTGGTTTTTCACACCTGATGATGACCGTTTGTGTTATGGTCGAAACGTCGTGAGAATTTTTATTGTTTTATATATATTATTTTATTGTTTCCCTTCAACGTGACTTTACCGAAAGAGCTAAGAACATGATACGATACTCAATCACACACCATACTCACCAGGAGATTCAGCCATTCACCATGACACTCACCACGATACTCTTTCACCATAATATTCACCACAATTTCAAGTGACCAGGTGAGTAGGGCTGGAAATGGGAATAAATTACTAGAGAGGGGATTCTCTAGTAATTTCTTGGGGATTCATGATTCCCTCCACCGCCATCTGAGAAGAGGAGCTTCGGTCCGCGTGGGTCTCTGAGCGTGTCCGTGGGTCTCTGTGTATGTCTGTCGGTTCTGCGCGTTTGTGAGTCCTGATAGGTGTCTGTGGGTTCCTATGCGTGTCTGTGGGTCTCTATGCGTGTCTGTGGGTCTCTATGCGTGTTTGTGGGTCTCTATGCGTGTCTGTGGGTCTCTATGCGTGGTCTGTGGGTCTCTATGCGTGTCTGTGGGTCTCTATGCGTGTCTGTGGGTCTCTATGCGTGTCTGTGGGTCTCTATGCGTGTATGTGGGTCTCTATGCGTGTCTGTGGGTCCCTATGCGTGTCTGTGGGTATCTGAGCCCGTGTGAATTTATATGCGAGTCTGTGGATCTCTATGCGTGTCTGTGGGTCTCTATGCGTGTCTGTGGGTCTCAATGCGTGTCTGTGGGTCTCTATGCGTGTCTGTGGGTCGCTATGTGTGTCTGTGGGTCTCTATGCGAGTGTGTGGGTCTCTGTGCATGTCTGTGGGTCTCTATGCGGATCTTTGGGTTTCTGTGCGTGTCTGTGGGTATCTGTGCGTGTCTGTGGGTCCCTATGCGTGTCTGTGGGTCCCTATGCGTGTCTGTGGGATATGCGTGTCTGTGGATCTCTATGCGTGTCTGTGGGTCTCTATGCGTGTCTGTGGGTCTCAATGCGTGTCTGTGGGTCTCTATGCGTGTCTGTGGGTCGCTTTGTGTGTCTGTGGGTCTCTATGCGAGTGTGTGGGTCTCTGTGCATGTCTGTGGGTCTCTATGCGGATCTTTGGGTTTCTGTGCGTGTCTGTTGGTATCTGTGCGTGTCTGTGGGTCCCTATGCGTGTCTGTGGGTCTCTGTGCATGTCTGTGGGTCTCTATGCGAGTATTTGGGTTTCTGTGCGTGTCTGTGTGTCTGTGCGTCTGTGTCTCTGTGCGTGTCTGTGGGTCTCTATGCGTGTCTGTGGGTCTCTATGCGTGTCTGTGGGTCTCTATCCGTGTCTGTGGGTCTCTATGCGTGTCTGTGGGTCTCTATCCGTGTCTGTGGGTCTCTATGCGTGTCTGTGGGTCTTTGTGCGTGTCTGTGGGTCTCTATGCGAGTATTTGGGTTTGTGTCTGTGCGTGAATGTGTGTCTGTGCGTGTCTGTGTGTCTGTGCGTGTCTGTGGGTCTCTATGCGAGTATTTGGGTTTGTGTCTGTGCGTGAATGTGTGTCTGTGCGTGTCTGTGTGTCTGTGCGTGTCTCTGTGTCTCTGTGCGTGTCTGTGTGTCTCTGTGCGTGTCTGTGGGTCTTTAAATCTTCATATACACATACGTGAAATAAGTTACGTGGACTATGGAAGGCGAGGACATGTAATTAAGGGGTCTACAAACATCACATCGGTGACACACTGAGAGACAGTAACAGGCACGCGCTTATTGCGCAATCAGAGGGGAGGCTGAGCCCGTCGCTGCCTCACCTCTCGTCTCTCCCTGTATTTACAGCGGAGCTCCGCAAATTTGGCGATTTTGACTCTAAAAAAAAAAACGATTGCAGTCATACAGAGGCGACATTTCATGGCACAGATCAGCGGAAAAATCGTAACGTCAATTTCATTATGATTTGTTCACTTTTCGCAAAACAGCTATTTTCATTGGCGTATGCCGGGTGAAGGCTCTGCCCCTCGCCTGCCTCGCCCATGACCGCACGTCCCTGATTATGGACATTGATCGCGAAGGTCGGACGCGTTCGTCTGCCGTCAGTAGCGGGCTGCGTGCCATCCCAGACCCCCCCCCCCCCCCCCCCCCACAAGTCTTTGCCCTTTCACCGTTTGATGATTGCCAAATTGTCACCGCGACCGCTCGGCGTCTTCGTGATAACGCCGCCACGAGGCTCACCGCACAGCACGTGCCGCTCACCCTCAAACTCACCAAAACGCCCTCACACGTCCCTCTAAAGGCGCCATAGAGCAAGGTCCCCCGTGGGGCAAGTGCTGTTAGCGACAACACCACGCCTGGCCGCCTTTGTCTCTCCCCATTGGCGATGTTTACACACACCCACACCAGGTTACCGTACTCGTTTGAGGCCGAGTCGACCTAGGAGTGGCCCGAGACCGGTTCAGAAATTCGTCACGCTTCGGAGCGTTTACAACTGCAACGAACGATCGCGCAACCTCCATGCGTCGTCGCCCGCCCGTCCCACGTGCCCCGTAGTTACCCCGAGGGAGCGAGGCTGCCGACTCCGTCTCGCTCATCGCCACTTCGCCTTGCTGCTGATTGATGGCGACCGAGCAGGGGGACTATGCGGGCGAGCGCGGGGCGGGCGTGGCGGGGCGTGCGAGCGCGGGGCGGGGCGTGCGAGCGCGGGACGGGCGGGGCGGAGCGTCCGGGCGCGGGGCGGGGCGTGCGAGCACGGTGCGGGGCGTGCGAGCGCGGGGCGTGCGAGCGCGGGGCGGGGCGTACGAGCGCGGGGCGGGGGCGTACGAGCGCGGGGCGGAGCGTGCGAGCGCGGGGCGGGGCGTGCGAGCGCGGGGCGGGGCGTGCGAGCGTGGGGCGGGGCGTGCGAGCGCGGGGCGGGGCGTGCGAGCGTGGGTGGGCGGTGTCTGTGAGACCCCTCCAACCCCTAACCCCGCCTCTCACGGCACCCCACCCCCTCCCCCATCGCATTGGGTCACGTGACGTAACGGTTCCACCTCCATAACGGACTTTGCAACCCCAACAACGTCACAACAATAACACCGCAACAATACAACCACGACAATAATAACGCCACAACAATAACACCACAACACCGAGCATGCACACCCATTCACACCCCACGCCGCCGCCGCTGCTGCTGCTCCTACTCGTCCCCACCGTCATCGCCCCCCGTGTCGCCCCCCCACCGGCTGCCCCTCCCCGCTGCCCCGCCACGCTGAGCTTCGTGAGCGCCGCCTTCCTCAGCGGCTCCGCCATGGAGCTGCCTTGCCGCTGCAAACCCGAGGAAGCGCTCCGGGGCGTCACGTGGTTCTACTACAGAGAGGTGGGGGGGGAGGGTCACGTGGTTCTACTACAGAGAGGTGGGGGGGAGGGTCACGTGCTTCTACTACAGAGAGGTGGGGGGGGGTCACGTGGTTCTACTACAGAGAGGTGGGGGGAGGGTCACGTGGTTCTACTACAGAGAGGTGGGGGGAGGGCCACGTGGTTCTACTACAGAGAGGTGGGGGGAGGGCCACGTGGTTCTACTACAGAGAGGTGGGGGGGGGAGGGTCACGTGGTTCTACTACAGAGAGGTGGGGGGGAGGGCCACGTGGTTCTACTACAGAGAGGTGGGGGGGGGTCACGTGGTTCTACTACAGAGAGGTGGGGGGGGGTCACGTGGTTCTACTACAGAGAGGTGGGGGGAGGGTCACGTGGTTCTACTACAGAGAGGTGGGGGGAAGGTCACGTGGTTCTACTACAGAGAGGTGGGGGGAGGGCCACGTGGTTCTACTACAGAGAGGTGGGGGGGGGGTCACGTGGTTTACTACACAGAGGTGGGGGGTTGTCACGTGGTTCTACTACAGAGAGGTGGGGGGAGGGTCACGTGGTTCTACTACAGAGAGGTGGGGGGAGGGCCACGTGGTTCTACTACAGAGAGGTGGGGGGGGGGTCACGTGGTTTACTACACAGAGGTGGGGGGTTGTCACGTGGTTCTACTACAGAGAGGTGGGGGGAGGGTCACGTGGTTCTACTACAGAGAGGTGGGGGGGGTCACGTGGTTTACTACACAGAGGTGGGGGGGGTGTCACGTGGTTCTACTACAGAGAGGTGGGGGAGAGGGTCACGTGGGTTACTACACAGAGGTGGGGGGGTGTCACGTGGTTCTACTACAGAGAGGTGGGGGGGGCACGTGGTTTACTACAGAGAGGTAGAGGGTCACGTAGTTTACTACAGAATGTTTGGGGGAGGAGTCACGTGGTTTAGTATAGAGAGGTGGGGGTCACATGGTGTACTACAGAGAGGTGGGGGTCACGTGCTTTGCTACAGAAAGTCGGGGGGTGGGGTTACGTGGTTCCACTACAGAGCGATGGGGGGGGCACGTGGTTTACGACAGAGGTGGGGGGGAGTCACGTGGTTTACTACAGAGAGAGGGGGAGGATCACGTGGTTTACTGTAGAGAGGTGGAGGTCACGTGGTTTACTACAGAAAGTTTGGGGGTCACGTGGTTCTACAACATAGCGGTGGAGGGGGGGGGGGTCACGTGGGTTACTACAGAGAGAGGGGGAGGCTGGTGGGGGTCCTGGGAGCGCGGGGGCTCGAGAGGGGAAGGGATTGAGGGTGGCTCCAGTGGGTCACGTGGTTCTACTCAGGACCGATAGTGGGGAGCGTGGGCGGTAGAGGAGATGCAGGTGGTGAGTGCGGCTCCTGGGGGAGGGAGAGTGTTCGTCCTCCAGTCGATACAGCTCCCCGGCTGGTTCTCGTCTCGCCCCGTGTCCCCCCGTGTCTCTCCGTGGAGACACCTCTATGGCTGGTTCTTGTCTCGCCCCGTGTCTCCCCGTGTCCCCCCGTGTCTCCCCGTGGAGACAGCTCCCCGGCTGGTTCTCGTCTCGCCCCGTGTCTCCCCGTGTCCCCCCGTGTCTCCGTGGAGACAGCTCCCCGGCTGGTTCTCGTCTCGCCCCGTGTCTCCCCGTGTCCCCCCGTGTCCCCCCGTGTCTCCGTGGAGACAGCTCCCCGGCTGGTTCTCGTCTCGCCCCGTGTCTCCCCGTGTCCCCCCGTGTCTCTGTGGAGACAGCTCCCCGGCTGGTTTCTCGTCTCGCCCCGTGTCTCCCCGTGTCCCCCCCGTGTCTCCGTGGAGACAGCTCCCCGGCTGGTTCTCGTCTCGCCCCGTGTCTCCCCGTGTCCCCCCGTGTCTCCGTGGAGACAGCTCCCCGGCTGGTTCTCGTCTCGCCCCGTGTCTCCCCGTGTCTCCGTGGAGACAGCTCCCCGGCTGGTTCTCGTCTCGCCCCGTGGTTCTCTCGGATCGCTCTGGCTCGCGGGTCCTGGACCGCGACGCCATGAGCGCCGACTTGACGAGCCGCTTCAGCATTCTCCTCTTCAACCTCGTCGTCCTCGAGACCCGCCGTGAGGAAGACCACTCCTCACCTCGTCACTCGTCTCCTCCACTCAGCCTCCTCATCCTCCACTCCAGGCCTGAGGGACTCCTCACCTCATCGCCCAACCTCATCACTCACCTCGTTAGAAAGATGCGTTTAGAATATTTGGCTGCAATCAATTTCCCCAGGGTAAGCCACTTCGTTGAGCTGTCAGTCGTGGCAAGGTCGCTTCTGAAATAAGAGCTTTATAGCTCAGTGGGCCTTACCTGGTAACATACAAATAATAAGTTTCGTTTTTAGTTTACTCACCCCATCGCTCACATGATTCACCACCTGATGTAGATGTTTAGGTGATGATGCGGATGATGTGGAGGATGATGTGACGATGCGGATGATATTCTTAGCTCTTTCGGTAAAGTCACGTTGAAGGGAAACAATAAAATAATAAAAAATATATAAAACAATAAAAATTCTCACGACGTTTCGACCATAAACGCAAACGGTCATCATCAGGTGTGTTTCTTGCCGTTGGTTTTTCACACCTGATGATGACCGTTTGCGTTTATGGTCGAAACGTCGTGAGAATTTTTATTGTTTTATATATATTTTATTGTTTCCCTTCAACGTGACTTTACCGAAAGAGCTAAGAATATGAATTACTGCAGTCACGAAAGCTTTAAATCAAGATGCGGATGATGTGGATGATGATGTGATGTGATGATGTGGATGATGATGTGACTGTGTGTGTGATGATGTGGATGATGATGTGACTGTGTGTGTGATGATGTGGATGATGATGTGACTGTGTGTGATGATGTGGATGATGATGTGACTGTGTGTGTGATGATGTGGATAATGATGTGACTGTGTGTGATGATGTGGATGATGATGTGACTGTGTGTGTGATGATGTGGATGATGATGTGACTGTGTGTGTGATGATGTGGATGATGATGTGACTGTGTGTGTGATGATGTCACCTCGCAGCGTCGGACTCGGGTCACTACATCTGCGGCTCGTCAGATGGAGACTTCTACTTCGCTTACGAGGTGACCCCCCCCTGTGACGAAGTGACCACCCCCTGTGACGAGGTGACCCCCCCCCCCCCCCCTGTGACGAGGTGACCCCCCCCTGTGCCGAGGTGACCCCCCCCCCCCCTGTGACGAGGTGACCCCCCCCCCCTGTGACGAGGTGACCACCCCCTGTGACGAGGTGACCCCCCCTGTGACGAGGTGACCACCACCCCCTGTGACGAGGTGACCCCCCCTCCCTGTGACGAGGTGCGCCCCTCCCCCCGTGCCCCCCCCCCCAGGTCGTGGTGCAGTTCACGGGCAGCGCCCGCCTCGTGCTGCTGGACCGCGGGGAGCAACCGCGGGCGGAGCTCACGGTGGGGGAGAGGGGACGAGGGGGGAGGGGGGTGGGGGGTGGAGTGTCATGGTCATGACGTTACAGTCGGGATGGTGGTGGTGTGGGTGAGTGTGGGCGAGTGTGGAGACTGTGTGGCGAGTGAACAATACCATTGCGTTTTATCCAGGGAAGCCATGCAAGAGTGCCCGGACTCTTTTTCAGGAGGGTGCTGTATTGAGTGTTCATACAGTATGGTGAGTTTGTGGTGAGTGTGTAGTGAGTGGGCATATGGTGAGTTTGTGGTGTATGGTGAGTGAATGTGTGAGTGTGGTGTGTGGCCAGTCATCTCAGTCAAGCACCTGGGTCTGCCCCCGTGACCTCCTGCCAGCGGGTGTTCGACACTTCACGTGGCTTCAAGGTACACATACAGTGAGGGAAAAAAGTATTTGATCCCCTGCTGATTTTGTACGTTTGCCCACTGACAAAGAAATTATCAGTTTATAATTTTAATGGTAGGTTTATTTGAACAGTGAGAGATAGAATAACAACAACAAAATCCAGAAAAACGCATGTCAAAAATTGATTTGCATTTTAATGAGGGAAATCAGTTATTTGACCCCTCTGCAAAACATGACTTAGTACTTGGTGGCAAAACCCTTGTTGGCAATCACAGAGGTCAGACGTTTCTTGTAGTTGGCCACCAGGTTTGCACACATCTCAGGAGGGATTTTGTCCCACTCCTCTTTGCAGATCTTCTCCAAGTCATTAAGGTTTTGAGGCTGACGTTTGGCAACTCGAACCTTCAGCTCCCTCCACAGATTTTCTATGGAATTAAGGTCTGGAGACTGGCTAGGCCACTCCAGGACCTTAATGTGCTTCTTCTTGAGCCACTCCTTTGTTGCCTTGGCCGTGTGTTTTGGGTCATTGTTATGCTGGAATACCCATCCACGACCCATTTTCAATGCCCTGGCTGAGGGAAGGAGGTTCTCACCCAAGATTTGACGGTACATGGCCCCGTCCATTGTCCCTTTGATGCGGTGAAGTTGTCCTGTCGCCTTAGCAGAAAAACACCCCCAAAGCATAATGTTTCCATCTCCATGTTTGACGGTGGGGATGGTGTTCTTGGGGTCATAGGCAGCATTCCTCCTCCAAACACGGCGAGTTGAGTTGGTGCCAAAGAGCTCCATTTTGGTCTCATCTGACCACAACACTTTCACCCAGTTGTCCTCTGAATCATTCAGATGTTCATTGGCAAACTTCAGACGGGCATGTATATGTGCTTTCTTGAGCAGGGGGACCTTGCGGGTGCTGCAGGATTTCAGTCCTTCACGGCGTAGTGTGTTACCAATTGTTTTCTTGGTGACTATGGTCCCAGCTGCCTTGAGATCATTGACAAGATCCTCCCGTGTAGTTCTGGGCTGATTCCTCACCGTTCTCATGATCATTGCAACTCCACGAGGTGAGATCTTGCATGGAGCCCCAGGCCGAGGGAGATTGACAGTTCTTGTGTTTCATATTCTTAGCTAATTCGGTAAAGTCACGTTGAAGGGAAACAATAAAATAATAAAATATATATTAAATATATTTTTATATTATATATAAAATATACATTTATATTTTATTGTTTCCCTTTAACGTGACTTTACCGAAAGAGCTAAGAATATGAATTACTGCAGTCACGAAAGCTTTAAATCAAAATGTAGTTCTTGTGTTTCTTCCATTTGCGAATAATCGCACCAACTGTTGTCACCTTCTCACCAAGCTGCTTGGAAATGGTCTTGTAGCCCATTCCAGCCTTGTGTAGGTCTACAATCTTGTCCCTGACATCCTTGGAGAGCTCTTTGGTCTTGGCCATGGTGGAGAGTTTGGAATCTGATTGATTGATTGCTTCTGTGGATGTCTTTTATACAGGTAACAAGCTGATATTAGGAGCACTCCCTTTAAGAGTGTGCTCCTAATCTCAGCTCGTTAGTTGTATAAAAGACACCTGGGAGCCAGAAATCTTTCTGATTGAGAGGGGGTCAAATACTTATTTCCCTCATTAAAATGCAAATCAATTTATAACATTTTTGACATGCGTTTTTCTGGATTTTTGTTGTTATTCTGTCTCTCACTGTTCAAATAAACCTACCATTAAAATTATAGACTGATCATTTATTTGTCAGTGGGCAAACGTACAAAATCAGCAGGGGATCAAATACTTTTTTCCCTCACTGTAGCCTGGCACAAGCGCTGTGGTGACGTCACCGCCACTTAGTGGCGAATGGTGGTTGTTGTGGTGTGTGGGGAGTGATTGTGGTGAGTGTGGTGAGTGCAGGTGAAGGGTGTGCACAACAAGGTGACGGTGTTCACGGCTTGGAGTGGGTGGACTCCGTGTGACAGGTGAGTATTGCCTCACCACTCACCACACCCCACTGAACACATACACCACTCACCACACCCCACTCAACACGTACACCACGTAACCACACCTCACTCACAGAACACCACACCCCACTCACACAACACCACACCCCACTCAACACATACACCACGTAACCACACCTCACTCACAGAACACCACACCCCACTCAACACATACACCACGTAACCACACCTCACTTACACAACACCACACCCCACTCAACACATACACCAGATACCCACACGCCACTCTCAGACACCACGCTCACCGCACACCACTCTCACTACACACCACTTTCACTACACACTACTCTCACTACACACTACTCTCACTACACACCACTCAACACATGCCTGCACACCACGCTCACTACACACCACGCTCACCGCTCACCACTCAACACAGACACCACATAACCACACCTCACTCACACAACACACACTCACCAGATGCCACTCAACACATGTAGCGAACAGCACACACACTCACCGCACACACACACTCAGCACACATTACACACACACACACAGCACACATTACACGCACACACACACAGCACACATTACACACACACAGCACACATACACTCCGCACACATTACACACACACAGCACACATTACACCCACACACCGCACACACACACAGCACGCACACTCACTACACACAGCACACATTACACACACTCACGGCACAAACACATCACACATTACACGCACACACGGCACACATTACACACACACACCAACAACAACAACCGCCATTCGCCACTAAGTGGCGGTGACGTCACCACGACGCTTGTGCTAGGCCATGTGCACCTTGACGCCACATGAAGTGTCGAACGCCCGCTGACAGGAGGTCACGGGGCAGACCCAGGTGCCACGGGTCGACTGACTAAGATGACTGGCTGATGCACCACCTGTGCCCCCTACTGTGCCAACCTGCTGTGCTTTAGCCACTCGGCGCTCCACTCGTTGTTGCGTCGCTCCTCCGCCCTCCGTTGTTGTTGGAGGGCGACTACCTCCAACTGCCTAGTAGCGTCCTTCACGAGCCTCCTCCACACAGGCCAATCTTGACACCGCTGGTACCAGTCATCGGCAAGTCCACTCAGCTCCACGTCCTCTTGTACCATATCATTCCATCTCTTCTCTAGCCCATGCCGCGCCCGTTTAGCCCCCTCGATCCGGCCGAACAAAAGCTGTTTCGGCATGCGGTGGCTGGGCATGCGGGCTACATGACCCAGCCAACGCAGCCTTGCCTGCCGGAGGAGCTCACCGATGGGACCTTGCCCAGATCTTTCAAAGGTTTGTGAGCTCCTCACACAATCCAGCCTAGTTAAACACAGGATGGATCGTAGGCAGGCTAGCCTAAATGTTTATAACCAGCGAAGATGTTCCATTAGGGGGGTCCACGTTTCGCAAGCGTAGAGAAGGGAGGGAATGACCGTGGCCGAGAAGACCTGAAGCTTAGTGCGGAGCGACAGACCAGGTAGCTTCCACACAGCGTTACGCAACCGATGAAAAGATATTGCCGCTCGACTGATTCGGAGTAAGACCTCTGCTGTTAAACTGGAGCCGGTCATAAGCATGCTGCCCAGGTATGGGAAACTCTCCACTCTCTCCACAACTGCCCCATCACCGATTGGGAGTTGTGGGGGTGGAGTGTCCGATGGTACAAAATACCCAGGCAGGTGTTTAGTTTTGGTGGGGCTGATGGTAAGGCCCCATCTCTTAGTGGCACGCTCCAGTCTCAGCAGCAGCGTCTCCAACTCCTCCTCTGAATGAGCAGCTATTACCAAATCATCGGCATACATAACATGGTTGAGCAATAGGGAGCCATCGCTTGACCACACCTGGGCATCGATCAGCCTCCCATTATATCTGTACCAAATGGAGATTCCCCCGGTACAGCTATTGAAGGCTTCACGAACTATGTGGTCAAAAAAGATGTTAAATAATGTGGGAGCCAGAAGACATCCCTGTTGCACCCCAAGGTGTACAGGGAATGGCTCTGACTCCCGGCCACGTAGTTTTACCCGGGCCCGCTCACCATCATGAAGGTCCTTAATGATCGTGAGCAGAGGGTCAGGGACTCCAAAAAGCACGAAGAACAACCCAGAGCCCAGGCCTACTGATGGTATCATAGGTCTTGACCAGGTCAATAAAGCAGAGATGTAGGTCTTGTTGGAATTCCCTACACCTCTGCTGTAGCAGACAGAAAATATGGCATCTGTGCAGGACCGCCCTTTCCTGAAACTGCATTGGGGCTCCGCAAGCCTCTCCTCAGCGTGCCTGGCAGGTGATGTTGAATAATCCTTGCCAGGACCTTTCCTGGGACACTGAGAAGTGAGATGCCCCTGTAGTTGTTACAGTCTGTGCGGTCCCCCTTCTTAAAGAGGGGAACCACCAGGGCATCCTTCCAATCCTGCGGAACCTGTCCAGTGGTCCAGACTGTTGTTATGATGTCATATAGGGCAGTCTGTGCACAAACACCACCCTCCCTCAGCATTTCACTTGGGAGATCATCTCTACCCAGTGCCTTTCCTGGTCTCAGACTCCGGATCGCTCTCAGTACTTCCTCAACAGATGGCACCTCAGCCAGCCACTCACAGGGGGTGACTTCTTCCAATATTTGAGGCACTGCAACCTCCAGCAGGGTCATCCCCACTTTCTGCCACGATGTTTTCCTGGCTGATGGATTTCCTCTCCCCCAGGACCTCACAAAAATGCTCAGCAAATCTGCAAACCTGTTCCTGGAGGTCAGAGATTGGATCACCGTTTTTTCCCCTAATGATGGTAATAGGTGTGGCGCTGCAGGTTATTTTTTTGATGGAGTTAATTAGAGATTTGCCATTGAGGCAGACTCCATCTCCTCAGCAACCCGCGACCACCACCCATCCTTGCAGCGCCTCACGGCTCTCCGAACCTCCGAGCGAAGGCTGCGGTAAGCCTCCTCATTCTCTCACGTGGGATTCTGTAGCCGATGACAGTGGACCTGTCGCTTTTTCTCAACCATCCTGAACATCTCCTCTGTCAGCCAGGGTCTCTAAGGAGGTCTGGACTGCATACCCAAAGCAGCCATTGCAGGTGCATGAGTCACAGTCCTAAACCTCGCCCATTTACCCTCGACATCAGGAGGAGTGGGAGACAATGCCAACCACAGCCGTAAGCGATGATGAAATTCTCGATTGCAACTTTCATCAGATAACTGAGACCAGGCCACTTTAGGTTGGAATGGGGTCCTGGGTGTACACCCACCACCGGAGTGGAAGAATGGCAGGCGCATCTTACAGATGACTAGTCGATGGTCAGAGGGCAGATCAGCTCCACGGTAAGTCCTGGTGTCAAGGACATGGGCTCGCATCTGCTGGTCCGTCACTATGTAGTCCAGCAGATGTTCTTGCTTGGACCCAGCATGCATCCATGATGTTGTGTGGATGCGCCGATGCCAGAACAGCGTGTTGGTAATTACAAGCCCATGGGCTGCACAAAAATCTAGCAGCCTCCTACCGTTGGTATTGAGCTGATCTGGCCCATGCCCTCCAATCACTCCAGATCAGGTGCCAGCATCATGATCAACTCGGGCATTGAAGTCACCCAACAAGATGACTCTATCCCGAGGGGCCACTTTAGCGAGCACCTGTGACAGGAGGTCATAGAAGGCATCTAACTCAGGTAGGGGATTGTTTTGCCGGACACACACACACAGCACACATTACACGCACACAGCACACTCACCGCACACACAGCACACATTACACACACAGCACACATTACACGCACACACACAGCACACATAACACGCACACACCCAGCACACATTATACGCACACACCGTACATACACACCACACACACACACCGCACACACACACTCACCGCACACACACACAGCACACATTACAGGCACACACCGCACACACACAGCACACATTACAGGCACATACCGCCAATCAACACACCTCGGCCCCCCACCCCTCCCCCCCAGGTGTGGGCGGCCCGGGGAGATGATCAACGCGGGGGTGTGCATGGTGTCCGGCAGCGTTATCACCTCTGCCAAGCAGGCGCGTGCGTGTGTGGTGTTCATGTGTAGTGTGTGGTGTGTGTGTGGTGTTGATGTGTAGTGTGTGTGTGGTGCGTGCGTGATGTTCATGTGTAGTGTGTGTGTGGTGTTCATGTGTAGTGTGTGTGGTGCGTGTGTGGTGTTCATGTGTAGTGTGTGTGTGGTGCGTGTGTGGTGTTCATGTGTAGTGTGCGAGCGATGTGTGTGGTGTTCATGTGTAGCGTGTGGTGCGTATGTGTTCATGTGTAGTGTGTGGTGCATGCGTGGTGTTCATGTGAAGTGTGGTGCATGTGCGATGTTAATGTGTAGTGTGCGTGTGGTGTGTGGTGTTCATGTGTAGTGCGTGTGGTGTATGTGATGCGCGTGTGGTGTTCATTTGTGTGTGTGGTGTTCATGTGTAGTGTGCATGTGGTGTGTGTGCGCGTGTGGTGTGCGTGTGTGGTCTGTGTGTGATGTAGTCTGTGTGTAGTCTGTGTGTGGTGTCTGTGTGGTGTGTGTCTAGTCTGTGTGTGGTGTCTGTGTGGTGTGTGTCTAGTCTGTGTGTGGTGTCTGTGTGCGGTGTGTGTGTAGTCTGTGCACGTGTGTGTGATGGCGTGCTATTTACTAGTGGGCGTTAAAGCCCCTGTGCACGGGATGGCGCTCTAGCCCCTGGCCACACACAGTAGAACTGTGATTGAGCCATATCCACATCCCAAATCAATGCAATGTTATTGTATTCCTGCATCCCCCACGCCTACTGCTGACAAAACCTGTCAGGATCCTCCTTACAAGGAGTGTTGGGACTCGACGAGGCGTTTCCTGTGTGATCTAAGCAGAGCCACGGTGGTGGTTGTGATGATGGTGGTGGTGGTTAGAGCGGTAGTGTAGTGGTTAGCGCACTGCGCGACGAACCCGGCAGAGCCCCGAGTTCGATTCCCACTCAAGGCCACCACTGACACCGGTGATTATCTGAACCTGTTCTGGGCCTCCTCCCTTCGGTTACCTCAGCCCTAAATGAATACCTGGTGCCACGTGTTGAGCTGAGGTGGTGGGCCGCTCGTGGTGCTGCTCCCCACCCCCACCCCGCCTCGTTTGCCGTGTCGGCCTTCATGTTGCTACTCGCTAACATCACTTGCCAAAACAGTCTGTTAAATACTACACTGGTGGTCTCTGTGTTTGCAATGTAAAAATACACTGAGGTGAGGGGGCTCGTGCGATGATCGGTATGACGATGTCGTGATGATTGATGTGATGCTGTAGGGGGCCCCCCGCTATGTGAGCGAGGTTCTTGGGGGTCCCGTGGGATGCGGCTCCCTTGCCACCCCCCGCTTCGCGCTCCTGGCTGCGCGCTCCCGGCCCCCCGAGATCCTGGTGCGCAGCTGCCGTGACACGTGCGCCTCGACGGGCAGCGCCGTGCAGGGTACGCGGCACACCACACCCAGTATACCCACCACACCCAGTATACCCACCACACCCAGTATACCCAGCACAACACCACACCCAGTATACCCAGCACACACCACACCCAGTATACCCACCACACCCAGTAATACCCAGCAACACACCACACCCAGCATACCCACCACACCCAGCATACCCCACCACACCCAGCATACCCACCACACCCAGCATACCCACCACACCCAGCATACCCTCCACACCCAGCATACCCACCACACCCAGCACACACCACACCCAGCACACACCACACCCAGTATACCCCCCCCCCCCATCCCGTAGACGTTCATGCGGCGCTGCGGGAGCTGATGGGCCCTGGGACCCGTGGGGGTTGCGAGGCTCCAGAATCGCGTGACCCTGGCGAGACACGTGGAGCTCTCGTGCCCCGGGGGCTCCCCACAGGTGACGGTGGGGACATGGGTTGAGGAGCGAGTGGGGGTGACCCTTGTGCGCTGTGCTATGACGCGGGTGGTGTGCAGCCGTGTGTAGTGGAGTGGGCTGTGAAGCGTGTGGAGAGCCGTGGTGGCTCCATGTATAAAAACGCGTTCAGCGTATTTGGCTGCAATACATTTCTACGTGATAAGCCACTTCGTTGAGCTATCATGTGGCCAGGTCGCTTCTGAAAAATAATTGAGTTTAGGGTGGCATTTCCTCGTGTGTAGCAGCGTGACGTGGTGTACTATTTAGCACGGAGTGAAGTTCCGCGTGCGGCATGACGTTCTGCATGCGGTGTGGTGTTCCGAGTGCGGTGTGATACGCGTGGTGTGACGTGTTTCCCCAGAGCGCCGTGGCCTGGGACCGGGACGGGCAGCCTCTACTCCGCTCCGTGTTCTCGAGGACACGGGGTCGCGAGCTCGAGGCCACAGAGTTCGGCCGGGTCACATTGGACAACAACAACCACCTGCACATCTTGAGTGAGTGGCAGCCAATGTGAGAGAGCGTGCCAGTGGGAGCGAGAGGAGTTTGTGTTCTCTCCCCCTGTTCTGTATGGGTTTAAACTTTATTTTCTTTGAAGGCCCACCGAGCGAAAAAGCTCTTTTTTTAGAAGCAACCTAGCCACAAATGATAGCTCAACGAAGTGGCTTAATCACTACTCTTTGGTTCTATCGGTAAAGTCACGTAGGTAAAAAAAGAAACAAAAATCACATTTCGGCCACAACACAAGCGGCCTTCATCAGGTGAAGGGACCAGCCTCTCTCGAAGACTGCGCTGGAGTGAAACAGAGCCAAGCTCAGACTGCGACCTTTAAGCTGTGAGAGGGACTAGGGTGCCTCGACAAAGGAATTAGCATAAGAAATTAGCATTTGATTGGCCGTGTGCTACACCTTTCATCATGTTAAGTCCACCAATCAAATGCTAATTTATGCTAATTCCTTTGTCGAGGCACCTTAGTCCCTCTCACACAGCTTAAAGGTCGCAGTCTGAGCTTGGCTCTGTTTCACTCCAGCACAGTCTTCGAGACAGGCTGGTCCCTTCACCTGATGAAGGCCACTTGTGTTGTGGCCAAAACGTCGTGATTTGTTTTATTTTTTACCTACGTGACTTTACCGAATAGAACCAAAGAGTATGGATCCTTGCAGTCACGAAAGCTTCAAATCTAGAATTGGCTTAATCACGTGGAAATGTATAGCAGCCAAATACTCTAAACGCATGTTAGTTCCAAATGCGGAGGGAAAACCCGGAGGATCTGGACAGCAATCCACGTAACCACGGGGAGAACATACAAACTCCACATATACAGGCATCAGGGTTGGGATCAAAGCCACAACCTCCTGTATACCGGGGAAGGGAGTTAACATCGCACCTTCCCCCAGGTTCTCACAGTTTCCTCCCATGGCTAAATCCACACACCTCGTGGAACTTGTCAACCAAACCACTTCCCCCAATGTTGACAAACCTGTAAATCACTCATCTGGGAGAAACACAGCAGCAACAGGAACATCACCCCCTACCGCTGCGACAAAACTTGTCAAGACCCGCCTATAGAGAGGAGTCCCAAGACTAGTGGAAGGGGGTTAAATCCCAACTTTAAGCTTTCGTGACTGCAGGAATTCATATTCTTTGGGTCTTTCATCAGTAAAGTCACATAGATAGGTTCAAAGAAAATAACAAAAAAAAAACTACGTTTCGATCGCAACGCGAGCGTTCGTCATGGGAAGAGGGGCATTTCTGGGCGATGTTGTACCATCGCCTCTCTCGCCGCGTGCGTGCACACAAGACGCCAAGCGGCGCGACGCAGGCCGCTACACCTGCTGGCTCGCCGGGCGGATGGTGGCAGAGCTGGAGGTGACGGTGAACCCAAGGAATCGGTCACGGCGGCGGCTGGACCCCCACGACCCCGAGGTGAAGGCGGCGCTGGCCACCCTGTGGCGCCTGTACGCAGCTCTTGGCGCCGTCACGGCGGTGGTGCTGGCGCTGCGCGTGCGGGCGGCCGTCGCCCGCACCGCTTGGAGGGGTTCGCTGGCGCCGCCGCCGCATGGAAAGAGGGGGGCGTGGCACGGGGACGAGGCCTGAACACCTGGAACGAGGGCCTGAAACAGCTGGGACCGGGCCTGAACAGCTGGGAACGGGCCTGAACAGCTGGGGACCAAGCCTGAACACCTGGGACCAGCTATGGCGGGGGTGGGGGGAACCTTTTTTCTGCAAAGGGCCATTTTGATATTTATAACATCATTTCGCGGGCCATGCAAAATCAAATTTGTTGCTATGGAAAAAAAGCGCCGAGATTGATTGAATTTCGAGTCGTGCGCTTGCCTTGGCAGGGCCAGTCCAACCGATCTCGCGGGGCCTTACACGGCCCCCACCCATGCTACACCAACACGCAGGGGATCCGTGCACCAACAGACCCCCATACTCAGGGGGGGTACCTACATCACACACACAGGGCCTGAACACCTGGGACGAGGCCTGAACACCTGGACGAGGCCTGAACAGCTGGGACCGGGCCTGAACAGCTGGGACCAGGCCTGAACACCTGGGACCAAGCCTGAACACCTGGGACCAGCTACGGCGGGGGTGGGGGGAACCTTTTTTCTGCAAAGGGCCATTTTGATATTTATAACATCATTTCGCGGGCCATGCAAAATCAAATTTGTTGCTATGGAAAAAAGTGCCGAGATTGATTGAATTTCGAGTCGTGCGCTTGCCTTGGCAGGGCCAGTCCAACCGATCTCGCGGGCCTTACACGGCCCCCACCCATGCTACAACCAACACGCAGGGGATCCGTGCACCAACAGACCCCATACTCAGGGGGGGGTACCTACATCACACACACAGGGACCCCTACACACCAACACACGTACAGGGGGCCAAATAGAGAGAAACCCTTACACAGGGACACCAAAGACCCCCCCCCCGCCTCCCAGTACAGCCTTAACAGAATGTTGGGGCATGTGCCGCTTGCGAACGCATGCAGAGGGGTCCTCGACACCAACACACACGGACCCCTGCGAGGGAACTCATCTTCTCTCACCTGATCCTCAAATCGTACATACTGTGAGAGATGGCTCGTCCCGTTCAAAATGATAACCGAGGCCAGACACCCAAGAGCTGACAAGCGAGCGTTTATTTACAGAGAGACGGTGACATCACCATCTCCACGCGCACTTGCATATTCACGCATGTGTGTGCGCACGCAAAAGAGTGTTGTGTGCACAAGTGTCCCTACTGCACCCCTGCCCTTACAAGTAAACCGATTGTGTGCGTATGAAGAAGACAAAGGCGACCGGGCGTGGTGGTACGCACACACTACCCCCCTCACACTACCCCCCTAGTGTGCCGCCGCCGTCCCAGCCCTTCATAAAGTGCTACTCGCCCATCCGCACTTTGCCCCAACAGTCTGTCAAATGCTAGAACTCTACATACATCTTTGTATGTAGAGTTCTGTGCGATCCGATCCAACGGCCACGATCCACGTGGCTCCATCTCCTCCCCGACGGTGCCTGTGAAAGGCACACAACGATGTTAAGTCCATGACCCACGACCCAGTGACCTGCGACTGTGTGTAGGAGAGCACGGGATCAGTTACGTTTGGTCTTCATGGAGATCAGAAGTCTAACACGTAATTCATCATCACATCCCAAAACTCCCCCCACCACCAACTTCCAACATTCCCCCCACCACCACCCAACCTCCCAAACATTCCCCCCACCACCACCCCCCAACATTCCCCCCACCACCAACTCCCCCCACCACGTCGAGTTCAGTACCTGGTGACTGCAGACCCCCCGATTCATCCCGGCGAGCTGGGGGGGGGCGGGCAAAGGGGATACGAGACAGATTACAACCCCTCCAACATCACCAGCATCAACATCGTCTCCCAACGGCAGCCGCCATCGCCGCTAAGTGACGGTGACGTCATCCACGCGACGCCTGTGCCAGTCTAGGTGCACTTTTGAGGCCATCACATCGCCTTCAAACCCTCGCTACATCGCCACCTATCAGCAGCATCTCGTCATCATTAACACGAAGATCCCTCGTACATTATCATGAAGGCCGGCACGGCACAACGAGGGGGGTGGTGGGTGGTCAAGCACCACGCCCGGCCGCCTTTGTCTCCCCCAGTGGCGATGTTTAAAACACCGCACCAGCTACTCCTTTGAAGGCCCGGTTCGGATGATGATCTGAACGGGGCCGTGAGCGGGAGTCGAACTCGGGTCGCCGGGGTTTGCAGCGCGAAACCTGCTTCACCCGCCGCAACCATTCAATCACCACGGCAATTGTGTGGGGGTTCGATTCCCGCTCACGGCGACTCCCCCAAACACCGATCGTCCCACAAACTCCGTCTTGGGCCTGCCCTTGATCGAAGCGGCCTCAAACATCGCCTCTGGGGGAGACAAAGAGCCGCCCCCCCCCCCCGCCGGGACACGGAGGCTCCCTCCTTAGACAGCACTCCTGGCCCCGGCAGCCTGTCGGGAAAACCGGGGGGGTGGAGGGGGTGCCCGAAGGGGATCGCTGCCTCGTCGGTTTTGTCGCGCCCCCCTTGCTCCCGGCCTCGCGTCAGAAACTCGACAAATCCGCACCGTGAGCTTCAAGTCCGCCCGTCGGTGATGTCATCATACACGAGGCCTTTGGCGTCGTCTCTCGTTAACCACTCTCGTCTCTGGCGCTTAATAGAACCTTATATAGCACTCGACGTCTCTCTCTCTCGTGAGCACCGTGATCACACACGCGCGCACATTTAAAAAAATAGTGACGCTTCGGGGCAAAGTTACCCCCTTTTGCCACGCCTCCGTTAACACACGCCTTCCCAGTTAATCTCCCACCGCCAACGCAGCGGATCCCACAGTATAATCTCCGCGTCATCTTCTCTACAAGGGATCAAGAACAGGGGGGGGATCGGATCCGACGAGGGTCGCGCGAACCGCACCACTCACCTCGTGGCTCGGAAAGAACCCGCAGGTCCACGCGCCGCCTCTTATATAGCCGCTTAAACCGAGGAATCGATCCCTTTAATTGCGCGGCGCGCATTCGAATCGATTCACAAGAGAATCGTCGAGCCAGCTTCGCGCGCCCCCGAGGCGAAGACACAAAACCGCGGCGCCTGTCGATCAACGGAGCCCGGGCGGGCGGGTGGCCGTGGTATTTCGCACGCTCGTGAATTTTAATCGCGACAATTAAATAACATCCCTCGTCATCCGGAATCGGGAGCACGATTAGTCATTGAGGAATCGAAAATGGTCGTCCGACTTCGTGGCCACGCCCCGGAAACCCCGCTCGCCGGGCGAAGGTAACGATTCGGGAATCGATTTTGTGACTTCCTCGTGACACGCGCATCTGGATCGATTTTAAACTTAATTCAAATTTATTTTACCAGTCGAGATTTGATTTGACCAGGTTAAGGTTATAATAAAGTATTAAAGCTTTCGTGACTGCATAAAATTACTCATTGTTTTTTCGGTAACGTTACGTATGTAGAAATACAATACAATTATATTAAACAATCACGACGTTTCGATCACAACGCAAGCGATCTTCAATCAGGTGTCAAGAACAAATCACGGTGGTAAATACAACAAAAAGATGAGAGACGAGAATTCAACAAACCTGAAAAAACATTACGTGAAGCACATCCAGTCAGGCCAACAACACAGACACTTCCTGGCGGACCACGAATTTCAGAAGAGTGTTAAATTTCGTGTTCAACCTTTGGATTGCACATACCAGCATGCTGGTATGTGCAATCCAAAGGTTGCACATACCAGCATGCTGGTACATACCAGCATGCACATACCAGCATGCTGGTACATACCAGCATGCACATACCAGCATGCTGGTATGTGCAATCCAAAGGTTGAACACGAAAGGTTGAACACGAAATGTAACACTTCTGAAATTCGTGGTCCGCCAGGAAGTGTCTACTAACTGTGTTGTTGGCCTGACTGCATGTGCTTCGCATAATGTTTTTTTCAGCTTTGTTGAATTCTCGTCTCTCATCTTTTTTTGTTGTTGTATTTACCTCCGTGATTTGTTTCGTGACACCTGATGAAGATCGCTCGCGTTGTGATCGAAACGTCGTGATTGTTACGTTTTAATATAATTTTATTGTATTTCTACATACGTGACTTTACCGAAAAACCAGTGACCAGGTTAAGGTCATTTTACCAGGTTAAGGCCCACCGAGCGATGTAGCTCTTTTTTCAGAAGCGACCTGGCCACAAACGAAAGCTCCACGAAGTGAAGTGGCTTATCATGCGGACATTTATAGCAGCCAATTACTCTTAAACGTTCGCCGATTCTAAACGTGGGAGGCAAAAAAAAACTCGCACAACCATGGGTGGTGAACACGCAGACTCCAAATATACAGCAGCAGCAGCAGGCATCGGGGTGTCTGGAACGAACCCACGACCTCCTGGATACCAGGCAAAGTAGTTAACATCTCATAGCCACCGTGACACCACGGCGAGGATCGTGATTCTCCGGCTAAAGTTGCGATCCGCAAAGCCACGATGAGAGATGGGGTTTCGTGGCCGTGAATGCACACAAGACGCGCGGCGAGCTTACGCTTTCCCAAGTTTGCGGTCCTCCACTTTTCATTTCATTTATGTTGGTATGGCCCCTGTGAGCCATTCGGCTCTTGAATCGGGTGCAACACAAAAAAAAACAAAAAAAACGAGGGCGTTATTGGCCAATCAGTGAGTTGTGTAAACGTGCGGTAGGGGACTGGAGCACGAGGAGAATTACTATATGTATACTGGAGGAATCCGATGAGCTGTAAAGCTCTTTTTCACAAATCTCCAGAAAACGTACGTGCGCAAGGGGGGGAAACGCTATATCCCGTACAGATGGAACAGATGGGGATTAGTCTGCACTTTGCTGTACCACCGTCTCTTGGTGAGCCAGGATATTGGCTGCTTCCTCTACAGTGCAGGATGACAGGCCAGATTCAGAATATGTATTTATACTGGAGGAATCCGATGAGCTGTAAAGCTCTTTTTCACGGACCTCCAGCACGGGCGGGTAAGAATGTTACAACAAACAATACAAAAACAAAATAGTCGTGAAAAGTACAGGAAAGGCAAATAATCCACCCAAAAATATACGAATAAAAACTCAACCATCCCATCCTATCAGGCAAAGCACACGGGAGGTATTAACTTATTTTCAAAGTGGCTTATCACATGGAAATGTATAGCGGCACAATAATCTCAATGCATATTTCTAAATGTGGAGGAAATAAACCAGAGGACCCAGGGGACCCAGAGAAAGAAAAACCCCACGTGACCACGGGGAGAACATGCAAACTCCAAATACACAAGCGTCAGGGTCGGGATTGAAGCCCGATCTGCATTCCAGGTGAGCAAGATAACGCCACTACACCATGGCGCCCCTTAAAGAAATACACGTAAAGTATATACGACTTGAGGCTTTCGGTAGAATTCCACGCAACTCTCTCACCGTTTTATACAACAAACCCCCCCCCCCCTCTGCCCCCCCCCCATCTCTCTCTATTTAAGGCCGCGACACAGAGGTATCGTCTTTCTGTGTCTCTGTGTGTTCTCTCTCCGCTTCCGTGTCTGTCTGTGTGTCTATGTGTGTGTCTCTCTCTGTGTGTCTCTGTGTGTTCTCTCTCTGCTTGTGCGTCTATGTGTGTGTCTCTCTCTGTGTCTCTGTGTGTTCTCTCTCCGCTTGTGTGTCTGTCTGTGTGTCTATGTGTATGTGTCTCTCTCTGTGTCTCTCTCCGCTTGTGTGTCTGTCTGTGTGTCTCTCTCTGTGTGTCTCTGTGTGTCTCTGTGTGTTCTCTCTCCGCTTGTGTGTCTGTCTGTGTGTCTGTGTGTCTCTCTCTGTGTGTCTCTGTGTGTTCTCTCTCCGCTTGTGTGTCTGTCTGTGTGTCTATGTGTGTGTCTCTCTCTCTCTCTGTGTCTCTGAGTGTTCTCTCTCTGCTTGTGTGTCTGTCTGTGTGTCTATGTGTATGTGTCTCTCTGTGTGTCTCTGTGTGTTCTCTCTCCGCGTGTGTGTCTGTCTGTGTGTCTATGTGTATGTGTCTCTCCGTGTGTCTCTGTGTGTTCTCTCTCCGCTTGTGTGTCTGTCTGTGTGTCTCTGTGTGTGTCTTTCTCTCTGTGTGTCTCTGTGTGTTCTCTCTCCGCTTGTGTGTATGTCTGTGTGTCTGTGTGTCCCTCTCTGTGTGTCTCTGTGTTCTCTCTCTGCTTGTGTCTGTCTGTGTCTGTGTGTGTCTCTCTCTGTGTGGCTCTGTGTGTTCTCTCTCTGCTTGTGTGTCTGTTTGTGTGTCCCTCTGTGTGTCTCTGTGTGTTCTCTCTCCGCTTGTGTGTCTGTCTGTGTCTATGTGTGTGTCTCTAGTCCGGCAAAACAACCCCCTACCTCCTCGCGGTGCCGGACGGACAACTCTGTCGTGGACAGCGCTGTGGGGGGAGATCCAATTTTGATTGGCTCCTCCCCTCATGGCATATGTGTCCACCACAGGGGCTAAACGGGGGCTCTGGACGGGTGCGAGGGGCTGGTAACCCCTTCACCTTCAATTAATTACCACGAAACCACGAATTAAACTGAAATATGTAACAACTAAGCTTGTGCCGGAGGCCCCGGGGGGCCAGGCGTCTATGACGTCTCCTGGCCAAACCCCAATTGGCGGAGCCAGGAGATTGAATACCTACCCTCGGGGCTACTCCAGAAACAACGAAAAGCCACTACGGGTGGCCACGTGGAATGTTCGAACGCTCACTGCAGAGGAGAGGCTGCCACTCCTCTGTCGGGAGCTGGACCGGTACCGCCTGGATCTATGCGGCAT